GCTCGTGGAACGCCAGGCGAGTGTTTTACCACTACACCACGAAGACTTCTTCACCCACCGCTGTAAAACAGCAGACGGTCAGGGAAGACTGTAGTTTTGACAGAGAGAAGGGATCGTTACAGGGGCGCTGTAGACGGGCGCGAAAGTCTAAGGGACGAGATTCAATAAGGGGCTTACGAACAAGCAAATTAGGAGGAAGATGAGAACCGGAGCTAGGAGTCGAAAAGTGTGAACCCAGCTCATTTGTGGCCGATACCGGGTCTGCTACTACAGAACCACGAAGGTGAAATATCTGGAGTAAACTTACCGCTAACTTGCGGATTTTCTTCGAGATCTGAGGGAGAGGGGGTGGGGGTTTCAGCTGTAAGGGCGGAGAGATAGAATTTCCAACTATCACGCTTAGCCGCATGGATGGCCCTACGGACCACTGCACTCGCCTCTCCGAAACATAATAAAAGCATCAGGCGTCGGTGTTTCTCCAGGCTGCACGCTTACAGCAGACAGCCCGAGCAGTCTGGATTCCACCAGAGAACGCACTTCCGCGTGCCCCGGGAGGTAGAGCGAGGAATAGAGCGGAGGGCAGCGTCTAATATGGTGTCATGAAAAAGGAGGAGGGCTCGAGGAAGAAGTAGATCAGATCAGGTCGGAAAGAGTAGCGTGGAGGTTGAATCGATTCCCGTCAGCCTTATCAAAGTGCCACCGAGGGAAGGAGAGAGGGAGGGTGGAAAGAAAAGGATACGATGATGGGGAAATGGTCACTTATGGAGGCCATCAAGAACCCTCCAAGTGAGCTCTAAATAAATACAAGAAGGACAGAGAGAAAGATCAAGACAGGAAAGGGTGTGAGTGTGCGAGTCAACACGAGTGGGCTCACCAGTATTCAGAAGAGACAGAATAAGAGAGGACAAATGGTTCGAGACGGCGGCCTCGGGTGTTTGTCAGATCATCATCCTAGAGGGTATGTCGACAGTTAACATCGTCCAAAAGGAGCACAGGTTCTGGTAAGGAGTCCAAAAGGTGTATAAGATCAGGGAGAGAAAGCGGGACATTTGGGGGGGGGGGGGGGAGATAAATGGAACAGACCGTATACCATTTACTCACAAAGACACAGGCGGCAGAGGAATGAATGCGCGACTGAAAAAGTAGGGGGACAAAGGGAATAACAATACAGACCAAGAGAATAGTAAAGTTTCAAAACCTTGAGGGGAAGAGACAAAGGAATAACTGTGGAAGTGACCAGGACGAGCGCCAAGCATCGGGAGACATACACAAAGCAGCGAAAACCGTAAGATTCCGTCTCCCAAAAAGAATACCAATGATGCCAATATTAGTCTGCTTGACATAATCAACATAGCTCCTACACAAGTAAGTAATTATCAAAAGAAGGCACCAAACCGGGAAGGCTATGTAGCACCATCAAACACGCAAAATAATCAGAGGGCGCTAAATATCACCAAGGATGCCAATACGAGAACAAAAACGCATAAGGCGAACGATATCAAAAGTATCCGAGTCACCAAGAATTCTATCGAGGGACAGGTGACCGCGAGGGGCGGTCGGAAAGCAAGACACACGCTCGTCCTGGAAGTCAGGACATTCAAGAAGGACATGCACGACCGTAAGAGGGACAATGCAACTAGGACAATAAGGAGCAGGGCGGCACTCCATCAAGTGACCATGGGTTAAGCGAGTATGGCCAATACGCAACCTCGCCAGAGCCGTTTCCCACCGCCGGTTACGGTGGAAGGAGGACGGCCACGAGGAAACACAACATTTAAGAGTACGTAGCTTGTTACCAGTAACAGACAACCAAGAAGCCTGCCAACGGGTAAGGACTGAGGAATGGATAACCGGGTAAAAGTCGGAATACGGAATGCCTTTACGAGAGACGGGACAAGAGCGGACAGCTTCCTTAGCGGCAGCATCCGCACGCTCATTTAGACACACACCAATATGGCTGGGAACCCAACAAAACTCAACCGACTTTAGTTTACTGTGAACGAGATACAGCCAATGCTGGATCTCGACAACTACTGGATGAACCGGATTATAGGACCCGAGATCCATGAGGGCACTACGAGAGTCAACAACAACCACAAAGGAAGACTGACAACGAGAAAGCAGGAGACGAAGAGCACAGAAAATAGCATAAAGTTCCGCTGTAAAGATGCTAGTCTCCGGAGGCAAGCGACACATATAAGTGCGATCAGGAAAAACAACAGAGTAGCCAACACCGTCCGCTGACTTAGACCCATCGGTGAAGACAGAAACGGAGCGGGAGTGAGAAGAAAAGTGCTCGAGGAAAAGGCGTTTTAGAACCATAGGAGGGGTAAAAGCTTTAGTGATACGGGTCAAGGAAGTACAAAACCGCGGAAGAGGGACCCTCCACGGGGGCAAAGAAGGAACACGAGGAGAAACATCAGAAATACGAACGGAGAGAGAATCCTGTAGGCGAGATAACCGGACAGAAAGAGGGAGGTGGTGAAGAGGAACAGGAACCGCAGGAGGGGTAAAAGTTAAAGCACGACAGAGGCGAGAGGAAGGATGTTGCAAGGACCGCGCAAGATAGCGAAGACAGTAGCGATCACGGCGGTCCTGGAGAGACAGGAAGCCAGTGTCAACATACAAGCTAAGGATGGGAGTCGAACGAAAGGCACCAGAACTGAGGCGCAACCCAGTATGGTGCAAAGCATCAAGACGGCGAAGAGTAGAAGGAGAAGCAGACGAGTAAGCAGGGCAACCATAATCGAGCTTAGACAGGACGAGAGAGGAATGTAAAGCAAGGAGAGTGCGCCTATCTGCCCCCAAAGAAGTATGGGACAAGACCCGAAGGAGGGTAAGGGCCTTAGAGCACTCAACACGGAGGTAAGAGATATGGGGAGACCAAGACAAACGAGTGTCAAGGAATAACCCCAAAAGCTTCGCGGAATCTTTGTATTCAAGGGGACGACCATAAAGTGACAAAGAGGGACGAAGAACAACCCGTTTCCGCGTAAAAGTCATGGCACAAGTCTTAGAAGTAGAGAACTTGAAGCCATGACCTGTGGCCCAAGACGACACGGCATCAAATGCAAGTTGAAGCCGGCGTTGAAGGAGAGGCGAATCATCACCCTGACAACAAAGGGTAAGATCATCGACATAGAGAGCGGAGAAGACACCAGAAGGAAGAGAGGAAAGAAGACCATTGAGGGCAACCAGAAAAAGAGTAGTGCTCAGAACACTACCCTGGGGCACACCTTCGTATTGCTGAAAAGAGGGAGAGAGAGCGGTACCAAGGCGCACCCGAAAGGAACGACGAGAGAGGAAGCTGCGGAGAAAGAGAGGGAGATGACCACGAAGGCCAAAAGAATGAAGTTGAGATAGGATATGATAACGCCAAGTAGTGTCGTAAGCCTTTTCTAGGTCAAAAAGGACGGCAACAACGGAGGTCTTCGCAGCAAAAGCAGTACGAATATAGACCTCCAAGTTCACCAGGACATCTGTCGTGCTGCGGCACTTGCGGAAACCAAATTGAGAAGGGGAGAGGAGGTGATGGTGTTCCAGGAACCACATTAGACGAACGTTAACCATACGTTCAAAGAGTTTGCAGACACAACTTGTGAGAGCAATAGGGCGAAAGTCCTTAGGGGAAGTACCCAGAGACCCCGGTTTGCGAACAGGGAGGACAACGGCATCGAGCCAGTCCTCAGGGACTGACGACGACTCCCAGATCCGATTATACAAACTCAGTAAATACTGAGACGTGCTCGGAGGGAGATGGCGAAGCATCTCATAATGAATACCATCGGAGCCCGCCGCCGTAGAACCGCAGAGGGCCAGGGCAGAACGAAGTTCAGAGAGAGAGAAGGGATCATTATAGGGAAGCTGAAGATGAGTGCAGAAATCTAAAGGACGAGACTCAAGGACAGGTTTACGAAGAAGGAAAGATTGGGGAAGATGAAGATCAGAGCTAACAGAAGAAAAGTGAGAACCCAGTTCGGAAGCGACCTGCAACGGGTCCGCCACAAGAGTATCACGGAGGTGAAGGACCGGTGAAACATCGGGAACGAACGTACCCGCTAGCTCCTACACAAAAATGAGTTTCCAATTGGCCTCTTCATTGCCACGAGAAAGTTTTTTTTGATACTGTTAACCATAACTATCTCATACTTAATCATCATCATTATCGAATCCGAAACCTTGCTCTGAACTACATTCTATCCTATCTTAGTGACAGACACCAATATGTAGCCATCAATGACATAACCTCCCCCACTCTATCATTACCAGTAGGAGTGCTACAGGGCAGCATCTTAGGACCTCTTCTATTTTTTTGTATACATCAATGATTTGCCATGTATTCTTTCACTTACATTCTTGTACAGCCACCAGCACGCATAACATTTCGGGCAAATCCTTAATTCGTAATTTTCCCCGGAATACGACACGCCAAATCGTTTAACAACCAGGTACCCATTCACTGCTGGGTGAACAGAGGCTACAGTTAAGGATTGGCGCGTAGTCAATCCTCCACGGCCAGGACACGAACCCAGGCCAAATCGGCTGCGAAGCGCCGGTTGAGTGTTTTACCACTGCGCCACGGGGACCTATACTATTTGCTGACGTTATTACCTTCATCTACTCAGACCACAGCCCACACACACACACTAAATAGTATACAATTTGGCTGCCTGTCCCCAGACACAATGAAGTATTATTATTATTATTATTATTATTATTATTATTATTATTATTATTATGACCCTCAATGTAGTGTTACAAATATCAACTCTTAATTACAAGCCTCAGTTCATATTCACAACCCTCCACTCATAGTTACAAACTACCATTCACTGTTACAATAGCGTCACTCAGTGTCACTAGAACAACTCACAACTGCACATTTTCTTGTAAAATTGCCCAATACGTATTTTCAAAGTTTCTTCAAATTCAATCTAATCATCGCTATAATGTACCAGTATCTATACTAAAATATATTTAACTAAATTTTAAACTCAAGACAATTTGATGTTATATATATTTAAGAAAAATCATAAACACATACATGCTCTACTGAGAAAGGAATTTATAGAAAATGAATACACAGTAATAATTATTACTAATGTGGGACTCGGGTAAATTGAAGCAAGATATAACTAATATAGTTTATATATCCAAGACTCCTGGTGGTTGTTGTTTTTGTTAAAGTTTCGCTACCTGAAACAAAAGTTCCAAGTAGCACGGGCTATGGTGAGCCCGTATATATAATTTTGTTTAACTCCTGGTCTTCCACTGAGCCAACCAGGACAGTCAGTGACCTTCGCGCCATGCAGACTCCAGAGTGGCGTCGAGGCGCCGTCGTAAAGATGGCGGAGGTGAAGGCACTGGTGTCAGTAGAGTTACTTCCTGCGGAAAGTGTCCAGCTTGCGGAGCTTGTTCTGGCGGTGGGGTCTGCGGCGGCGGGGCCTGCGGGGCCTGCGGGGCCTGGCCGCAGGCGGGACTACCATCACTCCTGCCCGGAAACTCGTTGTCAATGTCTCTAACATGGATGCGGATGGCATTATTGAAAGAAAGATGTGGTTACTTGCTTACCTAGATGTATTGTGGGTAGTTACATAGATTTATAGTCAAGAACATACAACACTTTCAACTGAAACAAAAATAGATCACATTAACGTGGTGTACGGTGAGAAAGTGAGCAGGACCCGTAGTTCCTGTTCACTTTCTCGTCGATATAACACTTTAATGTGATTTATTTGTGCATATTGATGAGAAGCGTTGGAGGTGGAACTCCTGGACCACAGCCAGAGTGCAGGGGAGGCAATGTGAAATCTCCATTGAGCTTTAGTGGAAGCCTCAGGACCCCTAGAGGATTCAGTTGAATCCCAGGTTGGATTGCTTTTACCATGTCATAGTGTAGTGGTCTAGGGCGTGTGCTTGGTTGTACCCAGTGTGCAGGTTTGAATCCTCCTCATGGCTCCTATACTGATTTTGTTCTTCCAACTTAAAGATACATAGGCACAAGAAATACAAAGACTACTGACATTATAAACAAGTATCGTATTGTTATCAACGGACACCAAGGAATATTTTGCTCTGCCCAACTACAAACATCTGGAGGAATATTTAACAACGTTAAGTTCATAACCTACACAGTTTACAACCTACGTTCTTAATTACCTACTAAGTTCACAACCTACACAGTTCTCGAGGACCAGGTAAATGTACAGATGTAACTGTTCCCGTTGTGGGTGACAGGAAGTCTGTACTGTGGCTTATTGATGCTTCTGCCTCTCCCTTGACCATGCACCTACTGATCTCCCACAGGATGCAACCCACATTAGTTCCCTAACTCACTATAGTGCATATTTGACTGCTAGGTGGAGGAAACTTGTACAACCTTTTCTCTCCTGGCCGGGGATTAAACTCGGGGTCCCTCGATTGTGAGCTGAGGACGTAGACTACTGCTGTCCTCATAATATCAGTCATACTGACGACCCTAGAGTAACTAGACCTCTCAACACCTACCAAGTACCACCACTGACGACCCAAGAGTTACTAGACCTCTCAACACCCACTAAGTACCACCACTGACGACCCAAGACTAACTAGACCTCTCAACACCCACTTAGTACAACCACTGACGACCCAAGAGTTACCAGACCTCTCAACACCCATTAAGTACCACCACTGACGACCCAAGAGTTACTAGACCTCTCAACACCCACTAAGTACCACCACTGACGACCCAAGAATAACTAGACCTCTCAACGCACTGAATATCGACCACTGACGCTGCAATAATTACTACTCCTCTTAACTCCCACTAAGTACTGACCACAGTCGGCCTCGTCGCTGCCACCAAAGCAGTCCACGAAGCCGTCGCAGTGGAACTCTATGGGGATGCAGTCGCCGTCACTACAGTGGAAGTCGGTGGGGCCGCAGTCTGTAGGCAGAGAGGTACACTTTTGTGAATATTTGTGTGGCTTCCCATCGTTAGGTACGCGCGGCTGCCTGTTAGCTTAGGTTCCTCTACCTAGGCCACCGACTGACCTTACCAGGATGTAACCCACAACAGTCGCCTAGTTCCTCGGTATCTTTATTTACTGATATGTGAACAGGAACATTAGATGTAAATAAACGCGCCCAAACCTCTCTGTCCTGCCGGGGACTCAAACCTGGGACTTTATAATTATTTTTGTTGTCACTAGTGTGTGAATATTTCTAGATGATACAATGTCGAGCCTTCAACGCTGATGACAAAATATTGCATATTTTGGTGATCAAGTGAAACATTTTTGCAAAGCAATAAACACGCATTAGGGTTTCTGGCAAGTCTTAAAGCTAACAAAATACACTACACTGAAAGTAAGTAAGTAATTATCAAAAGAAGGCACCAAACCGGGAAGGCTATGTAGCACCATCAAATACGCAAAATAATCAGAGGGCGCTAAATATCACCAAGGATGCCAATACGAGAACAAAAACGCATAAGGCGAACGATATTAGAAACCAATAGAAATTTGCTAATAGAAACCATATAGAAACCAACCAAAAAAATAGAAACCAATTCTATTTGCTGACGACACAACCTTCATTTACTCCAGTCCTGATCCCCTTGCTCTAAATGCCACAGTAAATACTGAGCTAAATAAAGTCCATCTGTGGCTAACTGCCAACAAACTCACCCTTAACATTGACAAAACCTTTTATATTCTGTTTGGCAATAAATCCTCTAATCAAATAAATCTCAAAATAAACAATACCCAAATTTGTAACAAATTAGATGGCAAATTCCTTGGCATTCTCATTGACCACAAGCTTAATTTCCAGGGACACATTCTAAACATATCAAAAAAAGTTTCAAAAACTGTGGGCATTCTTTCTAAGATCAGATATTATGTACCACGCCCTGCCCTGGTGACTCTCTATTACTCCCTTATCTATCCATATCTCAACTATGGTATTTGTGCTTGGGGCTCTACTACCCAAAATCACTTACGTCCTCTAATTACTCAACACAAAGCTGCTATTAGGACAATATCCAATTCTGGCCCCAGACATCACTCGGTACCCCTACTTAAATCTCTGAATATGTTAGACATTAAGTCACTGCACATTCTCTCATGTGTATTATACATATATAAAACGCTAAACTATAATGCCAATCCTGATCTCAAAAGCTTCATAGAAGGTTGTATCAGAACCCATGAGCATCACACCAGAAATAAATACAGTTTTGATATTCCTAGAGTACGACTTAATCAAACTACAAATGCTCTACAAATCAAGGGGCCCAGAATGTGGAATGACCTTCAAAACCATGTTAAAGACTGTACCTCTCTCAACCAGTTTAAGTTAAAAGCGAAGCTATACCTAATAAATTCCCTGTAACCTACCTTACCCTTCTATTGTCAACCAATGTCTGTTTTTTTCTTTAAAGAGCGCTGTTTGTCGACATAATTGTATTTGTGCTGCTTTTTCATCTATGTTTTCATTTCTTGTTTTCATTCTACTCATTATGCTCAATTAGTATTAAGCTTGTCATTTAAGTTTATCATGCCCGAAACGCTTTGCGTAATAGTGGCTTTAGGCATTGTATGTACTAGCTATACCTATAAGTTAAACAATCCTTGTAAATATTACACTAAATAAAATTGTATTGTATTGTATTGTATTGTATATCAAAAGTATCCGAGTCACCAAGAATTCTATCGAGGGACAGGTGACCGCGAGGGGCAGTCGGAAAGCAAGACACACGCTCGTCCTGGAAGTCAGGACATTCAAGAAGGACATGCACGACCGTAAGAGGGACAATGCAACTAGGACAATAAGGGGCAGGGCGGCGCTCCATCAAGTGACCATGGGTTAAGCGGATATGGCCAATACGCAACCTCACCAGAGCTGTTTCCCACCTCCGGTTACGGTGGAAGGAGGATGGCCACGAGGAAACACAACATTTAAGAGTACGTAGCTTGTTACCAGTAACAGACAACCAAGAAGCCTGCCAACGGGTAAGGACTGAGGAATGGATAACCGGGTAAAAGTCGGAATACGGAATGCCTTTATGAGAGATGGGACAAGAGTGGACAGCTTCCTTGGCGGCAGCATCCGCACGCTCATTTAAACACACACCAATATGGCTGGGAACCCAACAAAACTCAACCGACTTAAATTTACTGTGAACGAGAAACATCCAATGCTGGATCTCGACAACTACTGGTTGAACCGGATTAAAGGACCCGAGAGCCATGAGGGCACTACGAGAGTCAACAACAACTGCAAAGGAAGACTGACAACGAGAAAGCAGGAGACGAAGAGCATAGAGAATAGCATAAAGTTCCGCTGTAAAGATGCTAGTCTCCGGAGGCAAGCGACACATATAAGTGCGATCAGGAAAAACAACAGAGTAGCCAACACCGTCCGCTGACTTAGACCCATCGGCGAAGACAGAAACGGAGCGGGAGTGAGAAGAAAAGTGCTCGAGGAAAAGGCGTTTTAGAACCGTAGGAGGGGTAAAAGCTTTAGTGATACGGGTCAAGGATGTACAAAACCGCAGAAGAGGGACCCTCCAAGGGGGCAAAGAAGGAACAACACGAGGAGAAACATCAGAAACACGAACGGAAAGAGAATCCTGTAGGCGAGATAACCGGACAGAAAGAGGGAGGTGGTGAAGAGGAACAGGAACCGCAGGAGTGGTAAAAGTTAAAGCACGACAGAGGCGAGAGGAAGGATGTTGCAAGGACCGTGCAAGATAGCAAAGACAGTAGCGATCACGGCGGTCCTGGAGAGACAGGAAGCCAGTGTCAACATACAAGCTAAGGATGGGAGTCGAACGAAAGGCACCAGAACTGAGGCGCAACCCAGTATGGTGCAAAGCATCAAGACGGCGAAGAGTAGAAGGAGAAGCAAACGAGTAAGCAGGGCAACCATAATCGAGCTTAGACAGGACGAGAGAGGAATGTAAAGCAAGGAGAGTGCGCCTATCTGCCCCCCAAGAAGTATGGGACAAGACCCGAAGGAGGGTAAGGGCCTTAGAGCACTCAACACGGAGGTAAGAGATATGGGGAGACCAAGACAAACGAGTGTCAAGGAATAACCAAAAAAACTTCGCGGAATCTTTGTATTCAAGGGGACGACCATAAAGTGACAAAGAGGGACGAAGAACAACCCGTTTCCGCGTAAAAGTCATGGCACAAGTCTTAGAAGTAGAGAACTTGAAGCCATGATCTGTGGCCCAAAACGACACGGCATCAATTGCAAGTTGAAGCCGGCGTTGAAGGAGAGGCGAATCATCACCCTGACAACAAAGGGTAAGATCATCGACATAGAGAGCGGAGAAGACACCAGAAGGAAGAGAGGAAAGAAGACCATTGAGGGCAACAAGAAAAAGAGTAGTGCTCAGAACACTACCCTGGGGCACACCTTCGTATTGCTGAAAAGAGGGAGAGAGAGCGGTACCAAGGCGCACCCGAAAGGAACGACGAGAGACGAAGCTGCGGAGAAAGAGAGGGAGATGACCACGAAGGCCAAAAGAATGAAGTTGAGATAGGATATGATAACGCCAAGTGGTGTCGTAAGCCTTTTCCAGGTCAAAAAGGACGGCAACAACGGAGGTCTTCGCAGCAAAAGCAGTACGAATATAGACCTCCAAGTTCACCAGGACATCTGTCGTGCTGCGGCACTTGCGGAAACCAAATTGAGAAGGGGAGAGGAGGTGATGGTGTTCCAGGAACCACATCAGACGAACGTTAACCATACGTTCAAAGAGTTTGCAGACACAACTTGTGAGAGCAATAGGGCGAAAGTCCTTAGGGGAAGTACCCAGAGACCCCGTTTTGCGAACAGGGAGGACAACGGCATCGAGCCAGTCCTCAGGGACTGACGACGACTCCCAGATCCGATTATACAGACTCAGTAAATACTGAGACGTGCTCGGAGGGAGATGGCGAAGCATCTCATAATGAATACCATCGGAGCCCGCCGCCGTAGAACCGCAGAGGGCCAGGGCAGAACGAAGTTCAGAGAGAGAGAAGGGATCATTATAGGGAAGCTGAAGATGAGTGCAGAAATCTAAAGGACGAGACTCAAGGACAGGTTTACGAAGAAGGAAAGATTGGGGAAGATGAAGACCGGAGCTAACAGAAGAAAAGTGGGAACCCAGTTCGGAAGAGACCTGCAACGGGTCCGCCACAAGAGTATCATGGAGGTGAAGGCGAAGGACCGGTGAAACATCGGGAACGAACTTACCCGCTATCTTGCAGATACGCTTCCAGATCTGGGCCAGAGGGGTTTCGGACGTAATTGTTGAGACATAAGATGACATAGATGCCCAACATTCACGTTTAGCAGTACGGATGGCCCTACGGGCCACCGCACTCGCTTTCCGAAAGAAAAGAAAAGAATCGGTCGTCTACCTACGGCGGTGCCTCTTCCAGGCTGCACGCTTACAGCGGACAGCCCGAGCACAGTCCGCATTCCACCAGGGAACGCACTTCCGCGGACCCCGAGAGGAAGAGCGAGGAACAGAGCGGAGGGCAGCGTTGAAGACAGTGTCATGAAAAAGGAGGAGAGCGCGAGAGAGAGGCAGAAGGGAGAGGTCAGAGAGAGCAGCACTGAGGGTAAATAGGGTCCAGTCTGCCTTAGCAAACTGCCACCTAGGGAAAGAGAGGGAAGGGCGAAAAGAGAAAAAGGAAACAAGGATGGGGAAATGATCACTTCCATGGAGGTCATCAAGAACCTGCCATGTGAAATCTAAGTAAAGAGAAGAAGAGCAGAGAGAAAGATCAAGACAAGAAAGGGTGCGAGTCCGAGAGTCCAAATGAGTGGGCTCACCAGAATTCAGAAGAGACAGGGAAGAAGAGAGGAGAAACGGCTCAAGGAGGCGACCCCGGGTATTCGTCAGAACGTCACCCCAAAGGGAATGACGACAATTGAAGTCACCCA